CCCCCCCCCCCCCCCCCACAACAGTAGCAGGTGGCTGCCTCCCCCTCAAACACAAGCAAAGGTCAACGGGTCACGCAATCAAAAGGAGAGCGAGGCTCACCACATCCATATGTTGCCACTCTTATCAAGACTTTCCTCAGTACTGGTTATCTGTCAAAGAAAAGAAATATTGAAAGCAATATTGATCTAAAGGAGCCCGGTGGTGCAGGAGGCCGTGTTCCTGACATCTGCTCCAGCTCCATTAGCTTTAAAGAAAACAGGGGGGAAAAAATGATTCTAAAAACTTTCCAAAATCGAACTCCTCTGTCCGACTGCGCCGTCACGTGAGCACCCCGGTTGTCTGAGTCTGTAATATTTTCACATTAGGCAGACCTGGGGTCTGCGCGGGTGAATCGGTGGCGTTTCGTGACCATGCCCGCGCTGCGCTCCTGTGCTGTTTAGGTGAAAGATTGTGCTCCAGTGATAGCGCGCACAAAAGAGCGGCCGGACAATGAGCCAGTCAATGGAGAGCTCCAGTTGAAAGAGCCACAATGGACGTGCATGCTGGGAATTGGGCTGGATGATATAAAGGAATGAAACCTTCATTGAGGCCATGGAGGACAAGCATTCAGTAAAGAGGTTTTGTTTGCTCTTTATCAAATCGGCCGTTTCCCATGAGAAAAAACAATTCGAACTGACCTTAAAAAAGAAAAAAAAAAAACCACAGCATATTACCTTACACATCCACTCCCTACGTAACTCACCGAGGGGCTCCAACAACCACTTTTAATTGATGCCTCTGTGAAAACACCCCGGTGCCAACCTGTGTGTGAGTGTGAGGAAACGACCGCAGAAGTAAAGTGTGGACGGACGTCTGTCTCCGCTGCCCTGCCAGCAGTGCTGAGAACTACTTTTTTAAGGATTTGCTCTCGGACAGGCAGGATTTGTCTAAGCGCTGACCGCTGTGTTTCCGTGTGCAGGAGGAGACTAAGCAGCTGCGACTCTGGTGAAGTTTCTACAGCGCCCCAGTGTAGACACGACTGCTGTGACTCATAAAAACACACTTCACTGGAAAACGCAAATCACAACTTTGAGATCACAACGAATCAATAAAAGGAATCTCACATTTTTGAAAACGTTTTTTTTTTTTCTTCCCACACCAGTCAAAGCAAGGAATGTGAGATTTTTCTTTTTTTAACAGTTCCACATTAGCTGGCTGTGTGAGTCTGGTACATCAGATAAGAAGCTGCTCCCCTGCTACCTTACAATGGGAGTCTGCCTGGCAAGGAAAACTCTAGAACATTGGAGGAGATTTCCACTTCAGTCACTGCTGCAGAGAGGGATGAGTAAAGTATCTCGGTGCTTTAAAAATCCATTAAACTTGTATTTGGGTGTCATTTGATACTTCATCAATGTTTCAGTGGATTTCAGAACCACAAATACAGGATTTAGTCCCGCTAGAAACACAGTTTTCATCACATTTTCCCCTTCCACGAGCTCCACTCAGGTCAGAAATTACACGGTGAAGATTGCCCGGACCGAGGGTGTTCGTCTACGCAGACGATAAAATAATATCACTTGAAGTGTATTTTCTGCAGTGGTCTGCGCCACATAGAGCTCCTTTCACAGCACTGCTCTGTAGTGCTTTGTCCAGTAGTTCTGGATATGATATCATCTATTAATAATGTATTGGCAATGGATTACATAAAAAGGGAGCAGAAATAACATCCAATATTCATGCCCCCTGAGCTTGACTGTGTCCAATCCGTTTGGCCCATAAAACCTTAGCCCCATTTCCATATCCGCTGTGGGTCACGACAGGTCTGCCGCACAAAGGCTCACAGAACAGCTCCACTCAGGAAAAGGGCAGTAAAAAATCGGGTGGATTGCTGAACCCTTATGAGAACCCCCCCCCCCCCCCCCCCCCGCCGTTGGAAAAATGGCGAAAAAAGCTCTTTTCTGATTTCAGCGCCTGTGAAAAACCTGGTACTGTATTTCCCTCTTTAATTGTGCCACTTGAGAAATTGACGTGCCTCTGAAACATGGCATGAATCTCACAGTTATTGCAGTCCCCTTGGCAGGGAATGTTGATACAACATCTGCATGCTATAGAAAGTAATGGAAGTAGCAGAGGTGGCAGCTGCAACTCTACAGGAAGTGTGCCATTTTCAGGCAGTGCTGCTGTGAGAACCACTAACTGCCAGCCTGGTCTTGCAGGCAGCTCTGATTGCCAGGACACTATGACAAACACGCAGGGGCTGGGACTATTGCATCCTGGGGGATGACAGCTTCTGTTTGATTGTCAATAAGGCTCATTAGCAGAAAAAATGGAGAATGTGAAAAGAGATTAAATGGTTTGAGACAAGGTCCCCCTCATGTTTCATTACACTGGATTTATCAGAGACTTTTTTTTCCATCCGAGATGAAAATAATAGCTTTTGATTCCTGCTAAAAAGTTAGAACAGCACTTTAAAATATATATATAAAAAATGTATATTAAAACACTTCATAATCTTATAGTATAGTATTCAGGAATCTTTCTATTTACTCCATGAGGACTATGTAGTATCTCTTCCTCCCCTGTAGATGGCTCTAGGTAGTCGTTTTTACAGAGTTCTATTTTACAAATAAATAAATTACTCCAATATCCAACAGAAAATACTGCACGCGGTTTGTCATTTCAAATTTCAAATCCTATAATAAATTATAATAAATTCACATTCGTCTACTACATTTGTCTACTCACAAAAATTCTTTTTTTCAATTGTGATTTATTACATTTTAGCTGTATGTAATATCATTGTTTATTGTCTGTACAGATGAGATTTTTCTGTTTTTATTTACACCAGTATTTCTGCGTCTGAATGTAATTGAGATTATTTACTTAAATTTGAAAAACAAAATGCGTTCCCTGAACACACCACATTTCCTGTTACTCACTAAAAATCAGCAAATATGTATATTTTTTTAAATATAATATAATTTTTTTTCTGGTGATTCTTTTGTCACGCGTACAATGTGAGTATATTAATGCACACAATGCCTTGGAACAAACTCCCAACAACCGTTAGCACTGACTGTCATCTTAAGAACGACTTCCCTCTATCTTAGGGTGGAACCGCCAACAAAGCAGCGTGTAAGGGCCTTTCCCTAAAGAGTCCTTGTCACGCCGCGCCAAACCTCTGTGATTATCGTTGTTTTTGCAGAGAGTGTCCACGCCTGCCAATACCGCTGTTCCATAAATGAATTTGGCCCCTCGTCAACGAATTACCTAACACGCAGAACTGTGTATGTGTCACATCCAATTCCAACTCACCGGCTTTGGTGGAGTGTGTCAGCTGGAGGACTTAATCATCAATCGTCAATCATAATAAGCGAAGTGCATTGATAGAGCTTTTTCTTTTATAAAAAAAATAAATAAAATTTTTTTTATTATCTGCTCCTAAATAAAATGTAAAGGGCTTTCTTTTTAAAAAAAAATAAAAAAATTTTTTCCTTTCTTTTTAAAAAAAAATAAAAAATTTTTTTTTACTATCTGCTCCTAAATAAAATGTAAAGGGAGAAGTGGAGACTGACCTTGTTACACCGGAACCACAATTTATATTTCTAATTTAGTGTATGGATTAATTAATCTTGGCAAGTGTGTGTATCGGTTTGCATGTGGCGGAGCTTGATCAAATCATTCCTCGCTTTCGTAGGGAAACTCCGGACGGATATCTGTCAGTCTCATCTTGATGTTTCTGCTCAGAACAGGCTTTGCATATTTTTAAGCGCCACACTTTTAATTAATGCCTAATTGGAGACTTTATAGACAGGGTTCGTCCAGTCTTAGCTGCTAATCAATATCCCCCATCACTCATCATACAAAATTAATCACCGTGACCTGTTATCAGGGCCTTAATGGGAGCATGCACACGCCTAACAAGCTAATTGGCAAAGCATACATTTGCACAAAGCTGAAGAATTTTTGCTCATATTTTCCTCCTCTCCGTGCTCCAAGTCCACTCCTGTCCCCTGTCATACAGATCGCAGTCTGCAGGGGCCAGAGGCGCTGACAGAGCCCAGATGCTCCCAGTCTGTCTGGAGGACTGGGGAGACTGGTGCCAAGGGGTCCTGGAGCCTCTGAAGTGCCGCCCCCTCCGTCAACATGACCAAGGCTGGACCTGCACTTTCTCCAGGCACCACAACCACGGCGCACAAACATGACACATGCAGGGGAGACCACGCACTCCCACGTAATGTATGGCCGCTCATCAGCCGTTCCTAATTAGAGACCCCCAAACCGGCGTTTGAGGTCACGGGGTTACGATGACACACTGATACGAGGTTGGAGAGAGCCCGTACCTCTGAGGTCTTTTCATGTAATCCTGCACACTGTCATCACCGCCATCCTAAAACTCGCTCTCAACTCCGGTGAGGAGAGAGAAGGGGCTCTTTGTTGTAACGGAACCGGAACAAAACCAAACCAAACTAAACCAAACAAACAAACAAAACCCAAAGATCATTACGAGACCATCAAAGCACGCCGTGTTGGAAATGATGTTTCGTTGTAGTGGTGGAGAACCGTGTGGCGTGTGTTGGTATTAGGCCCTGCCGTGGCAGCTGTCGCGGCTGGCTGCGTGGTGCCTCGGTGTCAGGGCCTCAGAGGCCGGGCTGTCCCGGCAGAGAGACGGAGGGGGAGGAAACCTGATAGTGGAACCACTCTAATGTCTGTCTATCCCAGCTATCTAGCCAACTGTCTATCTGTCTGACTGACTGACTCTTGGACACTGCCTATCTACATGCCGGATACTCCTCCGCCTTCCCGGCAGCCGAGCGCTGCTGCTCACGGTGGACTTAATGTGCTCCAGAAAGTTTTAATCTTATTTGTTTTCAACTTTTTTTTTTATATAAAAAGATAGTAGCTATTTATGAAACACCGTTGCGTCTGCAGGATTAACTCCTGCCGTATGCCCACTAAAGATTGCTACTTACACCGAGGGGATCGGGTTATGATATCAGTAGAATTACAGTCTGACATGTATGAAGAGCAAGAGATAGAAGCGCCGGGTTTTTATATTTGATGTGGGGGCAGAAAATTGTTTTGTAATGAGGAAAGGTGCCAGGATATGAGACTGGGAGTAGGGAGTCAGAGACAGGATATAAGTTACAAGGAGGGGAAATAATGTTAGGGAAAAAAAGGCAGAAGTTGTTGTTGTTGTTGCTGCTGCTGCAGGAGCTAAACGGATCTTGGTACGATTCTCTATGATTAATTCAGCATGGCCAGGTCAGAACCCCGCACTAAAAACGCCAATGCCACCAACCACATCCTTGCTCTTTCTGGGGCTCAAATGAGGGTGTATCAAGTGTGAGAGAAAGTGTGTGTGTGTGTGTGAGGGGGTTAATAAATGTTGAATCAAACGCCGCACGAGACACTCACACTCCTTAAGGGTTGCCCATTAGCGGTGTGTGGGTGCATGGGGAGTTTATCAGTGTCTGGGTGATTTATGAAGTCAGACTCAATATCATCCACTTCACCCACACACATATGGACATACACATGTGCACACACCAGCACGCGTGGCCACATGCTCGCTCTCTCCCTCTCCCTCTCTCTCTCTCAAGTGCACGTGCACACCTTTAAAAATGGAGGGCAATATTACGGAAAAAAATGAAGGGGTTCATGGAAATTAACAGCGCGGTTGATGAGATCCTTTCCTTCTCTCTCTCTCTTTTGTTTTTGAATCTCTAAAGCTGCAAATGATGGGAAAAAATATAGCAGAAACCAAATATTAGGGACAAACACTGTCGCCAATACTAATGGATACAACAATGACATGAAAATGTGACAAAACTGGGAACATAAATGTGTTTTTGTCTGCACCTCTGCAATTACACGGCCAATTACTGGCAGCGTGTCTGAGGCTTTGATGCCGCTCTTGTTTTTTTGTTGTTTTTTTTTTAGCATCAGCTGCAGCACCACAGACATCAGTACTCTGGCTGCTCAATTCACAGCATTCCATAGAATTTACTTAGCCACAAGCAAAAAAAAAAAAAAAAAAAAAAAGGAGGGTGCTTACAGTGCACTTCAGAGTGCGCCGGGCTTAAATGGGACCCCTTGTGGCTGTGTCACAGCTCCCTTCGTTAGGGCCCTGACTGTAGCCTGTAGTCACCACAGGCATCATTAGCCCTCTGTGAAACCACAGACTGAGTCTCATTCTTCATCTGCCTGTCTGCTGCCTCAACATCTCCGCTGCGATGGCTGCTTCAACGGCGCAGTAAGTGAATACAGCAGCACGGAGGGGATTGGATAAGAAATTCAAAAATGCAGCGAAAGTTCAAATATTATTCAGCGAGTGGGCCACTTGAATTGGTTCTGTAAAGGTTAGAGCCGAGGTTATTTTTGGAGAATGGATTATTAGCTACCTGGGCTGAACAGAGAGGGAATAACTATGGGCCAGTTAAGGGTCACTTTGGAGCTTCAGGAGAAAAAAGGAAAAAAAAAGAAAAAAAACTACAGTGTCAGTCTTCCCCCCATCAGGTAATTATGAGGAAATAAAGTAAATGAACATACAGGAAAAACATTCAATTAAAGCAAATGATTTTTCTGAGCACACATCACTGCCGCCGACCTCTCCATATGTTCTGTTTAGGAATGAATAATTTATCCCAAAGGGATTTAAAAGAAGCTGTGATGAAAATAACATGGCATAATAAAAAAACATTTAAGTTACAGACTTGATGTGCAGGATGAATCCAAGGTTGAAATGTTGATTCCTGTTTCCCGTTCTGTACTGCCCTCTAATGGAAAACAGCACACAGAAATAAAAGGAGGAGCAGTGACACACACACACACACTCATACACACACACTCACAGTGCAGCGGGGAGAGGAGACACACGGCATAATTAATTTTGAGCCGGACTGAGTGAACGCTACATGAAATCCATTTTCAAATCAAACACAATTAAAACGATTAAAAGAAGAAAAAAAAAAAGGGAAATACGTGTCACTCTGAGATGTTATTTATTTAAAGGTGTCATTATAAATACAGTATGCGTCGCACTTCTACATGGGCTCTATGAGGCAGTGAGCAAACAATGAGCTCTAAATGAAGACCAAACAAATGCTTCACTACAAAAGCTTTGTAGCAGTAAAATTCACAGCCTTTATCACTGGATGTTGAACAAAGCTTTCACTTGGCAGGAAATTAAAAAAAAAAAAACCAACAACAACGAGAGGTACAAAGACTAATTCTACTTAGGGAAACAACAACAATAACAACAACAGCGTAAGAGACATATTTTTAAAGGAATAATAATTCTTTAGAAAAACCATTCCAGCACTATCTGGCAACCGGCAACGAAGACCCACGGGAGCATATGTTTGTAATTCTTACTGTTTTGTGTTTAAGTTATTTTTGTACATTCTAATTCTGCTACTACTCTGTATCACATTAACAATGCCTAACCTCTCTATTCTTAGAATTATCTTTTCTTTTCCTTTTTTTTTAAAGGAGAATAAAATGAATATTTACAAGTAGCTCCAGTTTCACAGAGTGTGCCAAGCACGCTAAACTTTATGGCCCTGTGTAAAAAAAAAAAAAAAAAAATGGCCTTGTGTGTGTGTGTGTGTGTGTGTGTGTTTGTAGTCAACGGAGGACAGTTGGCCTCTGTCATGCTTTAGTTCTTTCTCTACTGTGTCTCATGGGCGAGCAGCCATTGTTTGAGATGGTCGCCCCTGCCGCTCATGTACGGCCCACTCTGTCCACTGCTAGAAATGACTCTGTGACAGGGAATGAGGAGAGGAACCTGGCACACACGCACACGCACACACACACACACACACACACACACAGAGCAGGTATTTTATCTCTGAGGAAATAAACGTGCACCTCTTGAAAACACAAGCCAACAATTTTACCTGAGAACAGACACTGATTTTTTTTTTCTAACCGCAAAAAAGCTGAAATATTTTAACTGGTAAATTTGTTATTGTTTAAAAATACACTATATATTATATTTCTTTTTAATACCGCAGGACCATTTTTTTTTACCAAAATAGACACACAAAAAAAATCCAAAAATCAAGTCGATAGGTGTCAATAGTGAAAATATCCATTTGAACAAAAGTTACACGGTGGACGTCACTAAACAGCAACATAAAGGAAATAATTTTTTTTGTTTACATGTACTGCATGAAGAACAACAGGGCCTCACTAAGAACGTGTGGCGGGTTTGATCCTCCACCGATCCACATGCAGGGCGAAGGCTGAGTCTTTGGGTGTAAATGTTTTTTTACTCTTTAATAGTGTAAAGCAAAGAAGCAATCAAAAATTAATGGGCAAAAACAGCAGCAGGATGAATATTCAATCGAGAGGGTGTCAACATTAAGATCTGATAACCCTGTGATCATTAAGAAGAGGAAGTCGGTGGAGCGTTTACTCTTGTTGCAGACGAATGCCAGGGGGGTCCCGGGTTCTTTGTAAACTAAATGGCTGGAGAAAGATTAAAAAAAAGGGGAACACAGCTAGTGCTAAGACGCTTCGATCATTGTGGATTCAGAACAAGGAGAATGGCAGCGGCTGCAGACGATCACAGCCGTGACTTCTTTCAACATTTTCCTCAGGTGTTCCTCGTTTTGTTCTTTTTGTCTTGTGACTTTTTTTCTTTTTTTTTTTTACACATCAAGTTTTCCTGACTGTATGACTGCACCTTCATCCTCTTTATCTATATATATATATATATATATATATATATAAAAAGTTGGGCATGATGTGTATTTCAGTTCAAATCCATCATTAAACCAGCTCCCATATCAACAGCAATAAAACTTTCTGAGCCCCAGATTAACCTTGCAGACAGAGAAATACTGCTCCAGTATTCGGATCAATACTGTTCCCCGGGTTTGGAGGGAGAGCTGGGTACCCTCAAGGCCTCTGGATCTGCTTCTTCACTTGGGGGGAAAAGAGCACTACGGCAGGCTTATCAATACTCAAATCCTGGTGAAGAAGAAGTGCCACAGAGAGGGAGGGAGGATCGATTGAACACACTGAGCTTTTCACAGCTGAAGCCCGAGTGGTGCAGCGCTTCTGACAAGTAATTGACACTGACAATCTGACTCTGGATCTGTATCAGGAGCTGAGGGCTCAGGGCTCCCAGCCTCCCCGACAAAAGGAAAGGAGCGTCTGTAAAACATGAGGCTGAGAAGACTTCCACAGCCATCCAGGAGCGATGCCATTGGCTAATGGAACAGATGAAGCATGCAGACTATTTAAAAACACCAAAATGTTTTTTTTTTTTGTTTTTTTTTTATACCGTTTGTCTACATTAAGTGCGCCGTTGCCGTGTGTTTTCTGTCATTACAAATTACAATCCTTCTCCGCGGGATTAGCACGATGATGCTGCCTCACAGGATAGATTTCGCAGCACACGTTTGAGTCAGAACATCTCGGCTACAGCAGTGCTTTCTGCCTTACAGAGCACACCGCCGGTGCCCACAGCGCTACATGGGCAGGGCTAAACGGGCTTTGATCAAAGGGTTTGATCAAAAGAAGACACACCACTTGCCCTCTAGCCCTCCATTTTGTACACACTGGATACATAGGCAAAATGTTGTGGGCCAGGTTTCCGACAAGAACGAGAGATTTGCTGCGAACAACTTCAGTAAAGACCCAGAGACCAAAAAGTGTGGTCTTAAAACCACGCTGTCGGAAGAGTTTAACTTCTGGGTGGGAGGCGTTCACCGTGTCATCACGTCCCGTCATAGCTTTTTCTTTTTTTTTTTCTTTCTCCGGAAAATTCTCTCATGGGTAACAAGAAACTGCTTCTATGGTACTATATCTTACTACTGCAGTAGTACTGTAGTTTAAATGTATGTTTAACAGTGAGAAAAGTTCATTCATTCTCAGTGTTTTCAATTACAAACTACAAACAAGAACACCTGTAAAAATGTTGAGATAGTGTCCCTGAAAGGTCACAAAGGTCACACAGGTCACGGTCTGGGAGGTTAGAAGGTAAAATCATTTCAAGGTTTGGGAATCAAGGGCAGGGGTCTGCTGATCTAGGGTATAAAAGGAGCAACCACAACTTCACAACTTGGTGTTGTACTCTGAAGGACAAGACAATTATCGATTTCAAAGTAATACTTTGAAGCACAAATACTGTGTAATAATACTAGCTTTCAGGAGAAAATCTTTGTGCCTGTGAGCCGAGGCCAGAAACTGTTTCTGAATGTGCATGACCTTTAACACGAGGGTCATTTGTTAAGCCCAGTTTTTCATGTGACACAATGCAGGTAATTGGTTCCAACAGTGGCCCCTTCAGGACTGCGGTGAGTTATGCAAGCACCATCTTATAAGCAGCAGATCACTACAGCCAAACTACATTTGAACCTTTAAATATCCTTGTAGTCAGTTTGCATGATAAGGTTTTATATTCCACCAAATGAAATCAGTTCAGACACAAATAGAAAAAAAGAGCAAAACATTCATCACAGCGATCATTTTTAAACCAACGCCCCGTAAGACATCATCATTTTCACCTCAGATAAAACAGTCTGCTACAAATCTTGCTTGATCCCCCCCCCAATAAAGATATAGATTAATTTTTTAGCTAACTTGACGACTCTGACTGAGTCAGGCACCGCGTTAAAATCATTTTAAAAACTCTTATTTATAACCTGTGCAAAATGACTTCTGACTGTGTTTCTCTGCTCATCAACACACAATATATAAAAAAATCACATAAATAAAACAGAACTCTATTACTTTTCATGTCTGTCTCTACAACCCAAGTATGACGGGGGGGGGGGGGGCCCTGTGCCTGTCAGTCAATGTCATGTTCACTCACCGGGTTCCTCCTCATGGCTCCTCCCACCGCTCGCACTGCTCTGGGGTTTCCCACCATCTCAGCGAGGCGTTTGTACGAGACGGTCTCTCCGAACTTCACCTCCTTCTGAAGTACGTGCAGCACACGGCTGGTAAACCCATCTACAAGGTAAGGCAGAGGAGAGAGTGAGAAAACGGGGGAAAAACGACGAGACTCTCCTTCAAATTGTTACATTCAGACAGTGTTTCAAATGCACGAAAAAAAAAACCTACATCTGCAGTGATGTAGCCCACTGTGTGAACTTCCTGATTCTTCTTTCTACATCAAGTGGTTTAGATGGGAAACATTTACCAAAAAAAAACAACAAAAAACTACCATTAATTGACAGTTTTCTTGCCAACAACTTTAAAAACCTTTAAAAACCCATTTGTGCTTTGTGTGTTTTGCGGCTCTATTTTTATTATGGGTTACATCAGTGGTGTAGTTAAAACACTTTTACGGCTTCCTGACACAACTCCTCTCACTGGGGTCAGAGGTTCGAGTGTTGGAAAAGCAATGGAAATCCTGGACCGCCTATCACATTCGGGGGAGGTGTCATATCGACAACGTTTTAAGGAAACCCAACTTTTTGTTTTTCATACATTTCTTCAATTCCTGCAGTTATAGCAGCATGTGTTCAACCGAACAGGCCCAGGTTTCACACTGAGTGAGTAAACTGTGAGCCAACTGCATCAGCATTTCATCATATATACTTTAAGACTTTTTGTCGTGGCCCACAAATTGGTTGGAAATACAGTTACAGCATCGCCTCTCCAGCAGATCCAACTGCATCAGCATTTCATCATATATACTATGCAGTTACAGCATCGCCTCTCCAGCAGATGGCACCGAATCTGACAAAATCCAAGGACGTTTTGTAGATTCATACAAAACAGTAGTTTAGTAAGAGCACTCAGGAGGATTTAATTCCTGATTACCAACACCTACACCCGATATCTGCTGCTAGAATATAAGTGTACAAGTGTTTTGATTTTTAATCAAACATTTGAGCGCCTAGGTTTTTTTTTTTAAAAGCAAACCGTATCTCTGCAAATGTGCTCCGCAATACTCATTAAAAACCAAATGCACTGAAGTCCCTCCGTTTGACCTTAGAACTGCTATAGACGAACTACAGAGGCTGATGAAAGGAAATTATTTCTGTGGCAGAAAAATCTAGGTTATGCTTTGAAAGGTCACAGCTAAAATTAAAAAAGTTCGCTCCTTCATTTAAAAGGATTAAGAGAGGCCAAAAAGACAGCAAATCTGCTCCAGATTTTTAATAATAATAATTTGAATGTTGCGCACCATTTGTGGCAGTGGGATGACTTTGAGGTTAATCAGACCAATTTATCCTTTTAATTGCTTTCTATTCAGAGTAGATTCATTATATCATCCTCACTTAAATGGCAGAATTCTTCAAATCATCCGCAGCTTAACTGACAACATTAACGGCTTTGATTTCATTAGCGCTTAGCAGTAGCGTAATCGTGTTTCTTCTTCTTCTGTACTACCGATGTCTGAGGGACATTTACGTGGCTCTGATGGTCAAATCAGAAAAAGATGAAGATATCTCGGAGATTTGAAGACCTTTGCGACGCCACGGCACTGAGTCCGTGTCAAAGACGAACAACACTTTTTACGGTACGGAGAGCTGAGGACGAGGGAACAATGGTCTCGTTATCAAGAGGGGGTGAACTTCTTCTGGTATATACATGTACTCAGTCATGAAAATTCAATTAGTGATCTCCCATTCTCTCTCATTTATATGGTCTAAGAGAGGCACATGACAAGTGATCTATGAGAAATCCCTCTAAATTGGCATTGTGTGAAAACATGTCACACCCCTGTCTCTCTTCTACAGAGTGAACATCCTTTGCTCCCCAGGCTCCCCTGCTACCTTATAGTCACTCTCTGCTACACAAAGCCACACGAACAAGGCAATTTGCCTAAACTGGGGGGAATAAGTGTAAAACCTAAAGGGGATACATTTGATTGATGCACACCCATGTGAGTTCTTTGTCTTGAACAAGGCCCGTAGGTACTGTTTAATAATTTTTCAGGTAATAATCACGCTGTCAACGAGATGACGGGCTCTTACGCAGACAGACTTAATGTTATGAGGAGATAAGATACACCCATGAAATTTCTTTTATGCATTATTCTCCCTCATAAAGCTCGGATTTGGCCGCCTGATGTGCGCGGTACATACTGATATCGCTTTGTCACCGGTGGGGAGACGACAACTCCACCGGATTTATAGAGCCGGGACAAATCCCCGTTGATGCCGACGTTATTGACAAACAACCGGCGGCGACGTCACGGCGCCAGACGACTTCTGAGTCCCTTTTAGGCCTTCAAACAAGCAGCGCAACAAGCTGCCGCGCAGTTCACGCCTTTACACCTCGACCAAAAACCCTCAGCAGCCGTTTCCCTTGGACGGTTTTACTGTCTCCAACAGTTGTGGACAAAAACAAGTGTGTGCACTTTTATCTGCCGGTCCAGAGGTTAGAGAACTTTGCCCTCATCAGTGGTAGTGACAAAGTCTTCACGTGGGTCATTTGAGGTGACCAGCAATGATTCAGAGAGCAGTCCCCGAGCCCCATACTTCATAAAGAGCCTAATATGGTGTGTCTGGGGGTCAGGACCCTCTTTAGATCAGGGAGCAGTGATGTCAATTGTTTAAATAAAAGTTGAGAGGAACCACTTACGTGTTTACAGACATCCCATAATTGTGTCACGCGTCATTACATAGCACATGGCCAGGTGATAGGGCCACTCCGCAGGCAGAGACGCACTGACCCCCAAGTAAACCCAATCACTTGTTTTGATTATAAAAATATTGGCATGTGTGATTGATTTGCTGGGAATTTTGTAAACGAAAGCAAATTGAAAAGAAAAAAAAAATAAAGGTGAAGTCGGTTTTATTGAGTCCTGCTAATGATAGATTTCGGGAGACGGCTTTCTGCTGAGAGTCACCTCATAGATGGCTGTAAAAGTAAAGTGACAATAGTGGGAATGCGGCAACCTCATTATCCTCTCTGCCTAATGGGAGAGAAGACTTTGACTCCCAGTCAAAGTGTCTCTTGAGTCTTGAGGGATCCATATTTTTGAAGGCTGACGGGGTGCTGATGATTCTGTGATTATTCGATATTCTGAAAACGTTCATTTCCCTAATTCCTCTCCACATCACAGGGGCGAGTCCTGGTGAGCGTCTCATCTCGCCCTGTGCTGCGCACAGGGGGAGGTTCAGGCTCCTGCAGGAACACAGTCATTTGGGCTTTGAAGAGCGCCCTTCCCCCTTTTGCCTGGTCCCCTCCCTGCACATTCCCCGTGCCGCTTACCGAAACTAAGATCCTCTCGTCTGTTACATATGGATGTATAATTAATGAGATGAGAATATGCATCGTTTTAAGAACTTGCAATTGTCTCTGTGTTTCTCTGAGGGGGTGACTGTACATGTGCACACACATACACACACGCGCGTGCACAAACATACCCATGTTTACTGAGCGTGACACTCGCCGTCCCTCTACTCTTGACGACCAAACCTTCCGTCTGATGTCGTCGCACCGCGTTCAGTCAGACAAGTGCAAAAAAAAACAGCGACTCTTCGTCTTCCTTTGTGTCACCGCTGTTGCTCGGGTATGTTGTGACAGCTAATATGAAAAGTGGCTTGTTTTTGTCAGAAATGTGTAAATAAACATGGCAACACTTCAAGTGAAGGTCACAACTCAATATAACATGACAAGTGCTGTGAGAGCGCTGTCGCGTTCAGGTTCTCCCTCAAGGTAACTGAGCAAACAAAAGTTGGTAGTGGCAGATTGTAATGACCTGATTAAACCGGGATTTTTTTTTTTTTTTAGCAGGCTGGCAGCATCAGCACAACTAAATAAGAACAAAAAGAAGAAAACTCAACCCTAATATTTGTGAATCAACACAAGGAAAAAAAAAAAGGTGAAAATAGTAACACAGAAAGCCCTCTTTTTTTTTTCCTCACCCTTTCTCAAATACTCTCGGTGTTCACAATTAACATTTTTAAACTGGCATGGCCTATGGTTCTGAATACTGTGAACCAACCAAAGTCTAAACCCTGTATTTACTGAGCCCCAAAACAACAGGAGAGGGAGAAAGGTGGAACACAGCACAATCACCTATTCAGATCAGGTACTAATGAAGAATTCCATCTATCCTGAAATTTAATTAAAACCCCAAAGACTTCAGATGAGATGCGATTTGAAAGAGCCTGGGGCTGGTACACAAGCACTTGGTGGCGAAGGGAATCGCGCTGAAAGTTGATATCGTAATTGGTCCTGATGTATTTCTGCACTGCCTTTGCGGGAGCGTGGGACTCATAGCTGTATACAGGGTCTCGATGGAGTACCTGCTCATTGAAAATGCCATCACTCAAGCACTGCAGATCTGCATGAAATTAGAGAGCAACTAAGGCCTGATTGCAGGGGAAGAGAGGCACAATTGGTAAATGCATATATTAACAGATTTTTCTTTGCAGAGCTGTTGAGCTGCTGACTTTAAAATCCTTAAGTTAAAATGCAATCGACGTGTCGGTGTAACGGAAACGGAGCCTGTGATGTTTTCCAAAACAGTGCGATTGTATTGTGTTTATGAAGAGAAAAAGAATTAACAGGACGCAAATGTTTGTTTCCCTGAAACAACAATAGAAAAATAAACCCCCGCCTCCAGGGACAGTTTACTCCTAATTTCTTTCCACTGAACCGTCCATCAGTCACTCAGGCAGCCAGAGGTGGGACACTAATTGTCCATTCTTGGGGTGCTTTCGGTTTACTCGCCCCGAGGTGAATGGTCAAGCCTACAATAGGCTCATTCAAACTTTTTTTTTTTTTTAAACCACCATTCACATGTTCTCATTAAAACAAACAAAAAAAACACAGCTTCCTGTCTGCAAATGTCAAGAGTGGAATTCGATCAGTTTCAGAGAATGTGCCAAGAATCATGGAAAAGCTTGCCAAGACTAACACGCGTGGTAAGAGCTGCCACAGATTACTGAACCAAGTTACAGCCCTGTGTTGTGTTCGCTCTCCTCCACTCACCCTTTCACTCACTTCCTTCTCCTCCACTCTCTCTCTCTCTTGGTCACAAAATACTACATTATAACACAGCGAGCCAGTGAGTGTAAGTGATGTAACTGACAATTAAGAGTGAAAGCCTGATCCCAGTCATGGCTCTGCAAATATTTATCCATGACAGACCTCCTTGCAGGGCGGGGTGGTGGAAGGCAGGCAGTGGGAGACTCCCAGTGGTCTGCGGCTCGCTGAAGTACGCCTGGAGCCATTCCACGCAGCGCTGCAACTCGGGGCTCGTTTCTGCCGGGCTATCGTTGACCACACAGCTCGGGGGGGCCTCGGTGCTCCTGTGAGAGATGTAAGGCAGGACGGGGAGGAAAGGTGGGGATCAGGGGAGCAATCATAATACCCCGATTCTTGGTGGAACAGTACTAATATGTCTCACAAGAGTGTAATAACACGCCACCGGTGGCACAGACACGCGATGACATAATTTGCTGCGTGAAACAAAAGTTGTTAATCAAGACGTGTTTAAAATCTCAAGTCGCAAACTCCGCCGTGTGTGTGTGTGTGTGTGTGCGCGGCAGTCGACGGTGACTAATCTCAGATCAGTCAAAGACAGACAGACGTCCGAGGAAACATAACCACAGTAATCCTGACATCTGTTACAGCAGGCACAGCTGAGGCCAAATTTATCGGTCCCTTATGGAAATTTAATTTTTTAATTTTAATTTTTAAGTTTATTCTTAACTTAATTGATCCATTATTCAAATCATTCTTCTTTTATTCACATTTCGAGGCTTTTACCTTTAAATAGACATCAACAAGAACTTATGAAAAAGAAGAAACTACTTCAATTAGTATATTAATATAACAAAACAAATATATCAGCTGTACACAAATCATATAAAAAAAATAAATAAATCAACCCTAAAAAAAAAATCAGTCATTATGGACCAGACCAAAAAATAAACTTCAAAGCAATAATGTTATGGAAGTTAAAAGAGAAAATCACAGAATTATTTGATTTTGGTCCCTAACGTAATCCAACAGATTAGGACAAAAAACAAACCAGGAGTACTCCCAAACAAAGTAAAAGTCCCTGTAAAGTCCCTGCAGCTGTAACTTGCTGAAGGAACAGCTAACAGTTCTACCATGTTCTCCAGTCGTCTTTAGAGCTCATAACAGGAATAAATGGATTTTTGGCCGAAGCGCTGCTGGCCAGGAGAACTCCGCACTTGGACAGTCACTTTAGCACGAGTTGATGCTTGAAGGAATTTGCCGACGGTTGAGTTGGCATCACTTAACAGCTGAGTTTCCCTCCCTTGCTGACCCCCCCGCCCCCCCCCCCCAGGTCAAGGCCAGCAGACTAACCCACATTTGACACTTAAAGACCCTACGGGGAAGGTCTTCTCTGAGCATGTGCATTACTGCAAAGTGGACCTCAAGCTGTGTTGTGGGTCTAAAGCGGGTCGCCATTTCCATTAACTGGTGAACAGAACTTATAAATAAATAATACCAGCATTTAAGTGCCTCTCTTTGTCCAAAATTGGTTTGTTCTGTACGGTATTAATAATAGACATTAACTTTGTTAAACACACAGACTGTCTTTCTCCCCCTCTCTCTCTCTCCTGCCCCGTCGTAACAACGGGGCCCCAAAGTGTTCCTACACTTGTGCGGGTCGCAGTTTGAGCAGCACTTTATATTGGACACGTGAAGTCCAGGTTTACTGGAGTGTTATGACAGAGCAGGTCAGTTTTCACAGAAGTGCTCCGCCTTGCTAGTTTGTGGCTGTGCGATGGAAAAAATCTCCCGGGTGCCGTTTAACAGTGGGTGTAAATACAGTAAAAGGTGTAAATACTCTCATTTCTAAATAAACCACACAGCAGTTTATAGTTGAGTGGTGAAAACTCAGGAACCCACTGGCAGGTCCTGTGCTGAGACCTGCGCAAACAATGGCCATGGCTCATGGCAATCTCTGTCGGCATGGGTGAGTGCCCAGCCAGCCCCTACTTGTCATTGTCTCTCCT